GTTCCCGCTCCTTTTTGGTTAAGAAAGGTGTGGGGTTTTTTTTTCCAGGTGGAAGGACTGGGAAGTTTTATCAGCTGCGTGTGGCCATTCAGCCCGCGGGGAGGAGACGATCCGTAAAGGGGAAGGGAACGCTTCTTTCCCAGCGCTCGGTTCTTTAACCAGAAGTTATTCTTGCAACAGTTATTGCAACCTTAGGACTTCAGTTGATAGAGCTGCCTGAAAGAATATCCTGTAGTAGGTAAATAAGGATTGACAGCATAAAACTTTGTTTGTTTGTTTGTCTGAATCAGTTACGAAGCTCTTACAGATGTATATTTAAAACAAGTCCAGGGTGTGACTTAACTGTGAACTCAGCTGTTCATCAGTTTCAGACTTTCTCCTGAATTTTTCTGTTTTAGGGCCTCGATAGAGCAAATATGTTTCCACTTATACAACGATGCTGCTTCCGTACACCTTTCAAAGTAAGTTTCTGAAGCCTCCTTTGCTGTCTGTATTTCTTCAAAGGTAAAATAACAAAAAGTATGACTGGCATTGGAAAAAAAAAGGTGACTTACAAGCTGGAGTAGCCATGTTTATCAGTTAGCTTTTCTGAGAGAATTTCTAGTTTCTACTGCAGCTTTTGGCCAAAGCTGAAGTGTTTCTTTAATAAAATGTTACTGTCTGAAGGCCTTTTTTCCACATTTTGGTAGAGTAATGAGGGGATAGTAGCTGGTTTCTTGGGTGATGTTGTCCTACTTCTGTAATAATTTTATATACAACATAAAATTATGCTGAAAAGGAAAAAAAGCCTAACAAATGTGTGGGTGGAAGGAAAGGTGGATATAGAAACACTTTGTAGTGAGTAAGGTTTGCTTATTCATTATGAAGAGCCTAATAGCTCATCAGGTAGCTTGTGAAAGCTGCACCAGGTAGCTAAGTTAAAAATGACTGAGAACTGGGAGAAAGGACAACTATGATGTGACCTGACTTGGAAAAGTGCTTGGTACAGTGTCTCCTAGGTAGTTCAAAGAACTGTGGATCCGTAAGCCTATGTTATAAGTTGTTCAGAACAAGTTTTGTAATTGCAGCTCCAGAAGTTAACTGGTCCCAGGCTACCACTGTATGGAAGGAATAAGACAACTTGCTCTACTCTCAGCCTCCACTTGCAGAGAGATGTGTGTCTTCTCTCAAGATCTCCAAGCCTGAGCCCAACATCAGTATATGCAACTAAGCTCCAGGCTTTTCACACCTCTCTCCCCTTCTTCAAGAAGAAAACCCCCAAAGAATCTGAGACCAAAGACTCGGGCGTAATTAAAAAAAGCATGGAATCACTGAAGGAGTCTCCAAAGCCAGCCCTTTACATAAGCTTGGCAGGGCTAATTCCATTTGTTTCTGTGCCACTGGCAATGGCCATCCAAGGCACCTACTACCCAGAGCTGGCGTTTGCTCAGGTTACATATGGTGCTGTAACAGTCTCTTTTCTAGGAGGAATGAGGTGGGGGTTTGCTCTCCCAGACAACAGCCCAGCCAAGCCAGACTGGTTGAACCTGGCTAACAGTACAGTTCTTCCTCTACTTGCCTGGCAAGCCTTGCTTTTTAAAGAGATAACTTCTGGTGCAATAATGCTAGTAATAGCCTTAGGGGTAGCAGTACATTATGACATTTCCCTTCTTCCTTCTTATCCTAGGTGGTTTACTGTACTGAGGGTAGTGGGAACAGTGGTGATGGTGTTATCACTACTAGCTACTGCAGCACTGAAGACTTTCTTAGGTGAGCAACTCAGTGACAGCAGAAATGAATGGCTGAGCACAAAATACTGAATCAAGAGGAGAAAGCTGTTTATCTGCCAATAAGGTGTTTGTATGGAGTTGCAGGGGAATTAAAGACATATTTGTGCTTAGAAGTCAGAAAATGGCAGTGATCAGGACGATTATTCTCAAAGTAAACAACATAGCAAGTTTAATAGGGATTGAATGTAAATGCCAATGGCTTCCAAGGCAGGCATGAGTCTGTTTTTATCCACAGAGGAAGGTGTCCCTCTTGAATGAGATGTTACTACTGTCTGAATTTAAAATGGAGATTCAGCTGACAAGGCTATGAATTGCTGTATGCTGAATTATTAAAGTATCTGGTGTAACTATAATGTGTGATGATGTTTTGTGGTAGGAGGAACAACCAGGTAGTCATGAACAGGAACAAGGTGAGAGCAGTTCTTCCAGATAGTGTTTAAAGAAGCAGCAGAGAATTATGCCAACATACATACGTTTGATTCCTATGTTGTGGAAACGCAAAAGATAAAACTATTCTGTCTTATTTCAGCTGAGAAGAGGCTGCGAATGCTGTGATTAAGTGCTAGTCAGATAAAAACAGTTTGCAGTGGCAAGCCAAGGTCAGCACTCGCCTCAGGTATGTCACCCAGCTGCTGTGATTGAGTGGGGAAGGCTCTGTATCCTTGAAAAGGCACCACAAGAGACTGTTAGCTTCCTCCTCAGGACTACTTAGATTAAAAAAATAAAGCTGGGCCATCTGTTCCTAGGTTTTGTTTGGACTTAGGGCTGCCTAACCAAGGGAGCTGCATGCAAAATAGCCATAAAGATGATATGACACATGGATAAATGTCTTGATATAACACAAGATCTTGATTGTTGGCACTAAGTGATCAGATAATGGGATTGAAATTAGTATGTGTCTTCTCCCTCTTCAAAACTTTTTATTTGGGCACCTGGGGCAGGTACAAATGGACTTGTAGCCTGCAAACTGTCCGTGATGAGCCAATGACTGCAGGACCTTATGCTCTTTTTACTTAAGTCTTTCTAACACATCATTTAAGGGAAGAAGATACAACATAAGTCATTGAGATTTTTCTAGCCTCAGTTACCTCAAATCTATGAACTCGTATGTGGGCATATTTATTGTAGGGTTTTTATCTTCAGTAAGTACAGTATAAGATGTTAGAATAAAGCTGAAAAGTGATATCCGCATACAGTGTCAGGACCAATTTAGATAATCCTCATAGTTCTCTTAAAACACTTCTTCATTGTTTTTCTATACAGAATAAAGCACATACTGGAACTTAAAATTTGTTATCTCTTCATTCTGCAAAAAAAGATTGAAGAAGCCTAAAGAAGGGGTATCTTAAGTGGTGTTGCTGAAACTGTAACTCTGTATGTGAGCTGCTAACTTTCATAACCTGTTAACCTTTACCCATTAACAGCATCATACCTCTGAAACAGCAATGTATTTCAGTGCTCTCTGAATAGAATGGAACCTAAAGTTTGTGAATGAAACCAGTTCTTTTGATTCTTTCTTACTTAGACATGGTGTTTTTTAAAACCAGAGAAGAGCCTTTGGCTTCAGTCAGGGAATCAGGTCCCGAGTATCAGAGACCATCATCAAGTGACTTCAGAGTTTCCTTCAGCCATGGTATCATCAACAATAAAAACTGGAGAAGGTAACTCCATACAACAGTAGATTTCCTCAAGTTCCACTAAGCCAGGAAGTTTACAGGTAGGGGTAAGAAATGAACTTACAGTTCCCAAAGTAATAGAGCTAATGTAATGCTTCTCAAATGGTTCATGAGAGATCCTGGCATGAAGATAAGAAAGTCTTAAGAAATAATACCTATCATTTGATCCCAGAGAACAAATGGGCTGCACAGAGGTGGGAAGGTAGCCAAACTTGAAGAAGTCCAAGTGATTTTACACTGAAAGGAGAAATACACAAGTATTTTACTACAGAAGTGTGCTAATTGCACCTTCTAAGTAGTCAAAATTTATAACCAGTTTTTCCCAGTGTCCTCTTGGGAATTAGGATTTTCAGTAATAAAAGAGGAAAAAAGACCTATTAAATAAAAGTGGCAGCAACACAACTCTAGGAAACCACCCTATTCAAAAGCACTCCACAGATGGTTCTGAAAATACATTTTATTATGAAAAACTGTTTAAAACAAGCTTAAACTTGGGGGGGGGGGGGAAATATTAGTTCACACATATATGAAATCCTTTTGAATAAAAGCACACACAAGGTTCTAGAACAATCAAACAAATGCTCCATCATCTAGCATGTTTTAGCCTGGCAGTCTCCCAGCCCAATGTCAGAATGTAAGACTAGATTCTTAAGGTACCTTCAACATCCATCTTGGAGGTTATTAGTATATTAATTTGTTAAATGTACACAGGGGACATTGACCTAGACAGCATGGATGCTTCTTTGTCTGCACCCTGCAGGCTTCCTGTTTTGTGACATTCCAGTTGTGGTTTTGTGTTCTAGAATAACACTGTCCATCAAAGTTCAAGCAGTCTTATTTCCAGACTTCATCCAAATCATCCACAGCTGTGCAGAAAATGCAATCTTACTGTGCAAAAAGCAACCTCAAGTATGTTAATTAATCTAGAAGTAACTCCAAACTCCTAGTAGTGTTGTTCTACCACGTGTATCCAAGCTAACTACCAACTCCTGAAGACAAAACACTCTTAATAGCATCAATTTAGTGCTGATTTCAGCTAATTCCATCACAAAAATCTCCATCTGCTCAAATAGGTGGAATACAAGATGTAACAAAGATGAACGTCTGTGACTTGTAGAAGAGCATGTATTCCAATGCCAAGTCTCAGCATGTGTCTCACAGGGTAAAAACACATTGAACTATAGGGGAAAGGGCAAAATCCTTTCCCTGTATTTTTTATACTGAGAGCAGTCCTAAACAGAAGAGCAACTCTAATTAATAGCATTTCCATTTTAAATCCTTCAGAGCTTACACAAAAATGAGCTCTACTGTCATCACTGATACCATTGAGAATAAAAGCTTGTGCTGAGGTGGAATGACATTAGAACAGTGAGAATAACCTTCCAGAACAGCAAATTCTCAGCCACCCACTATTCAAGTTAGTGGAGTGGCCAGAAAGTAAATACCCAGGTCATATTAAATGCCTGTCACATCCAGCAGCAGAAAAGAGGCTCAAATGCATCATGGTCATAAGTAGAGGTACCAAGTTTTCCTTATCTGTTACCTTCTTTTCCTTGTTTTCCTCCAGAAAAGGACAACCAAAGCCAACCAAATAGCACATCTGCTCTTACCCACAGATAACTCCTGGCTTTCTATAGTAGCCTACTTCCAGATTGTAAGGCCAGCTAAAGATGCTAGCTTTGGTGCACCCCAGAGAGCTAACAACCTGAGTAATGTCTCTAACATGCTGGAATAATTTCTTCACAATTTTGCAGGGCAAATTTGCCATTTATTTCAGTGAGCTTAACCCAGTCTTATGAGGCATTCCGAATACTCCCCCAAGACAGACATTGGATAAGCCCATTTACTTTGAAGGGCAAGAGCTTCAACACTTTTGCTCAGGAAGAGCCCTCTGATCTAATTCCCACTGTCTCTACTAAAGCTCCTGTATTAGAAGAGGTTTCTGTTGAATGAACCCGGAAATCTGAGAAGACAGATTTACTCATTCCTTGTATAAGTTTTCTTCTTTGTTTTACAGCACAGCTACACCTCCTTCACAGCGGCTGGTAATCATGTTGGCAATTTCAGTCCAACTGTCCATATGAGGGTTATAAACTTCAACAGAGTCAGAGGTTACTGGAGCAGCAAAATCATGACTGGGAGCTCGGCCTCCTGAGGCATAAAGAAATCCATTCACAGCCACAACACAGACACCAGCTCTTGGTATCTTCATTGGTGCAACTTCAACCCACTTTTCCTAATGAGAAGGTGAAAGAGTCAGTAAGTAGTTTTAAGGCAAACCTTCATTCTGATAAAAGTAACTTTTAAAGCTTAGAGACTGAAACATACGAAGAACATTACACATATGCTTCACGTGCTCAGATACAGTGCAGCATCAAGAGGATTATCAAGACTGCAATGACAACAGTTTCAAAAGTGGTCTAAACCCTGCTAGTCCCTAAAGAACAGACCACACACTGTCTGTACACAACACCCTCCCCCCACTTTCTTTGGTCACTATAAGATGCAACCATTCTCCAAAATAGAGAATGGTACTGGGCTAGAGGTGGGAAATAAGGAAAATTATTAAATGCCCAATGTGAAACAGAATGGCACACTGGATTGTGTTCTGCTTTTAACACCAGCTACTGATCCAAACAGCTTCACAGATACCTGAGCAATAACAGTCAGGAAGAAACTTTTGAATACAATAAAAATTTAAGTGTTCAAAGTGATTTTTCTAGGCATGCTGAAACACCATTTTGAAGCAGAAGAAAAGATCCTCAGCTTTTGTGACAAAGAGCAGCTCTTAAATTTCCAGGGAGTTTTTCCTCTGTAGTCAGATTACTGACCATTCTATCGCAGAGGGGGAATCACACCCCCCTCCAATCTAAATCCTAACAAGTATTTACCAAACCACAGTGTGCCTGTGTATCATCAGTACAGGTTAGCTCTCAGTTAACCGAAACCTGATGCAATCTGAATTTACGAAAAGAAGGGACTCTACCATACCTCTTCGAAGGAGTATCTTTCTACAGTAGCAAGTGCATCCTGAGATTCATTCCAGCCTCCAACAGCATAGATGCAATCGTTGAGAGCAGCCACACCCAGATAGGCTCTTCGGGTGCCCATTGGAGCAAGCTCAGACCAGCGTTTAGATATTGGGTCGTAGACTTCGACAGAACGGAGCTCTACTCCTTCAGTACTGATACCACCAACAACATAAATTAAACCTGTAGAAACAGAGTTTGTCCTCTGTTAGATTTCATAATACGGAGGTTTGAAAGGCTGAAATATTTGTCACAATACAAGTTTCATCCTGATATTAAGATGGCTTAAGAATGCCACATAAAAATCCTCCATTTTTTCCCTACTGGCAGCCACATAAAATCTGTTTTTGTGGGATAAAAGGCAGAAGACAAAGAGAACTTACTAGTCTTTGAGTTCTGCAGAATTTAAAATAGGGTACTAGAAGAACAAATAAGTGAGGCACAAGCATGTGCTACTGATAGCACAGTGCAAGGCAAAGATAAAAATTCATGACTGAACCATAAAGTTTCAAAATCCAACAGAACTGTTTATAGATACAAACATAACAATACCTTGCATTTCACAGCACCCAAAGCAGTGACGGGGCACAGGCATGCTTCCTACCACATCCCAACTGTTTTCTTCAGGATCAAATCTTTCAATTGTGTTGCCAATCTCTGCTCCAACCCAACCTCCTGCAAAGTAACAGCAAACGGGAAAAAATAGCATTTTTAGATACATGGTGCACTGTTGCAGGGCAGAATAATTCTGAAACAGCAAGCAATCTACAACAGAAATAAGTTATAAATGAACAATAACTAATCTACAAAGATCTGGTATACTAATGATCAGGTAAACAGCTCTTTTTCAAAACTTATCTTTACAAGATAATTAATACCTTTAAAATTAACAAAGAAAACCCCCATAACTTACCCAAGGCATAGATAGCACCATAGCATGTGCACACTCCCAGTCCACAACGGGGATGGTTCATGGAAGCCACAGTGGTCCACTGCTTAGTGACAGGATCATAACATTCTGTGCAGTCAAAAATCATCGAGTTGTCCTCACCTGCATAATGACAGTAAGAACAAACACAGGAGAAACACAATGTTTTGAACTGCAGATATAAAATCATTCCTCAACTCCTTCCAGGACAGACAACATTTTAATACAAGATCTTTCTTTTTTTCTAGTCAAACAGCCAGAGTAGCAAAAGCTTCTTTTATACCTAGAACTGAATAATCACATGAAAACAGCTTTCATCAACAGTTCCCCGACATACTACTGAAAACATCAGAGGGTGAAAAACCACAGGGATACACACTTTTTACTCTGCAGCACCACTGATAGGGTTTTCAAGACCAAAGAATGTGTTTTGCAGTGACAAAAACATTATACATACGCATTCTTTAACCACGGGCGGGTAGAGCTACTCATCCCATCCTTGTGCAAACACACATAACAAGCCTTTCCAGGCAGGCAGATGACAAGTGGCATGTCCTGTACTACTGCCTTTTATGCTGTGCACTTCTGCTTGACTACAAGTGAGAAAAGAAGTGCTGTTTGTGGTGGTACACAAAGTCTGCAGAACACCTAACACGTCTCAGAACATCTGCTTATGTCCATATGCTTACCTGTGGGTTGCTATACCATGAGGGGAAAGAAGCTTTGTGAAAAACAGCCAACAGGAGCCCAAATGGGCATTCACAGAGCTGGGACAGTAGAAAGCCAAGGAACCCTAATTCAACTGTTTTTATATCTAAATGTTGACTTATCTGTTGCTGGGTTCCTTGGAACCATTTACAGGAAGAATACTTTAAGGAAATCTCCATCCATGAGCCCTCTAGTATCCATGTAATGAAGACAGCATGTTTCAGCTGTTACCTCCAATGGCATAGATCATTCCTCCCACCACAGCCACCCCCAGCCCACTTCGAGCTTGGTGGAGGGAGGACACTGTGGTCCAGTAGTGGCTGAAGGTGTCAAATCGCTCCACACAGCTGAGGGCTCTGCTGTCACTCCAGCGTCCTCCTTGCAGTCGGGTGTACCCACCTAGAAAGTAAGTGGAAAGATCATGGCTAAGTAAGAGCTTCCTGCTCATCCCCATGCTCCTATGTCTAAATCACAAATTACAGCAACAGCCATGAGACACCTGTAGTAGGAACTGAACTTCTCCAAGTAGCATTGTTTCTCCAGCATGCAAGGAAGGACGGTCACCTCGAGGGTCATGTAACTTGTACCTGAGGTGACCACTTCACCACAGCACTGCAAGTATTACCATTCATGTTCTTACTGAAACACAGAAATCAGCCAACAGCCTTTGCTATCTTAAGTCACTGTTACTTCCCACAGGGTGAACCAAGAGCATTCCCTTCCAGTACAAAGCTGCAACTTTGTTGAAAACTTGAAATTTCAAGTATCCCATCACGTGAACCAGAATATTCTGGACAGAGAAGAGTTCAAACTTCAGAAGAACAAGGAGTGCAGTGAATTTGCATGCAGCATTCCAGCAGTGAACCATGAGCAAATCCTCTGCTGATTTGCAGATTTCCACCCAAGGCAACTGCTGATTTGCAGATTTCCACCCAAGGCAAATAACTCCTAAAAGGCAAATCTAGGCTTTGAATACCACATCACAATTACATTAAATATGAATCCTGATCCTCTGTGCAATTGTAAGTGGCAAGCAGCTAGCATGGTAACAACCAGGTGAAACATTCTGCTATTTTTATATATTTTGATTTAAAAAAATTAAAAATCCAGTATCTCCTTCAGCACTCTGAGATACTACTTCATCATTTGATTTACAAGGTTCAAACAGCCACATTCTAACCTACTGCATAAAGGTACTTCCTGGCTTTCCTCCGGGGACGACCTTTAGAAGCTTGCAGAAAACTGCTGACCTTGTTCTCTTTGGGAGATTTAGAGACTTCACAATATTCTTTCAACAGAGTTTGCAGGGCCACCCGAAGGCTGAAATCTGGAATACCTCGAGGAAAAACGCAGATGAGAAAAGGTACAGTGAAAAATTACAGGCAATAAGTAAATCAGTTGCAGAAAAGTTGCTAGCTTCTCCTGGAACAGCAGACAAATTAAGTTTGCTTAATTTCCGAGACTTTTTTCAAAAGCACATTTTTAAAGTAAGCTGTGCTTATTTGTTAAAAAAACCCCAACAATCAGAACTTGTTTGGAGAAATATTTTCAACCATTATATTATTGATATTAAAAAGTCCATCAAAATCCAGTAACTGAACGACACATTGTTTGCTCAAATCCAAACATCTGGCATTGTTTCTTCCCTTCTTTCACTTACTCTCTATGTATTTTAGCAGCCTCTGTGCTGGCAGCAGAGGGAATCGCACAGGCTCCAGTACTTCCACGACGTATTTCTTCCTTTTCCCCACATCCTTCAAAATCCATTGCATCGCCGCTGTGAAAACCTGGTACTCGTCCTCGATGCTCAGGTCCTCACTCCGCAAGATCTTAACCAGCTGCTCCTTGGTCAGCGCCAGGAACTCCTCCCCGCTCTGCACCTCCAGGAAGTGCCCGTGGATGTAGCTCTCGGCGAACTCCGTCAAGTCGTGACAGGCGATCTGCTCGGAGAACTGGAAGAGGCCGATGCAGTTCAGCGGGTCGATCTGCCCCTTCAGGAACTCGCAGCAGAGCTCCACCACCTCGCCCAGCTGCAGCATGTCGGCGGCCACGATCAGCTCCTGCACGTTGTGCTCCCCGATGCTCACCGCCCCTGCGGGAGGCACAGCGCCCAGCTCCGGGACGGGCAC